TTTCAGTTCAAGGCGATTCGAAAATCAAAGTCTCCCGATCTTTCGATCGGCCTGCGTTGGAAGCAACTCAATAGGATTTTACGTATCGCGCGGGGTTGAGTAACGAAGTAACGAAGCGTTGTCAGGGAAATTTCAGCTGCCAATTTATGTCCCACACATTGCACACTAGTTTCAACGTCAGAATGCAATTGAACGCGATAAATGTAAACATAAACAGAGTGAATTCTCCGATTGTAATTGTCACAATCCAGACGCAGCTAAATCTCGATTGCATGCGATTTACACGCTTCGTTCGTCACTTTGTTCAGTCGTCGTCGTCGTTCTTCGCAACGAATTTTCTCAAGACTTTGTCACACTTTTATAACGATCGAAGGATGAAATCGACAGCCAAAATTTCAAGCGGCTGCCTTTCCGGGAAAGGAAAAGGAGAAACGAAAAAGAGGGAAAGAAAAGAACGATCCTCGTCAGCAAGGTTTGTCAGGGGCGTGCACACACGATACATATGTATACATGTGAAAATCTGAAACGCTCAGCGAAAGAGGGGTCCTCTTACCCTCTTGTACGGCTTGCAAAGTTCCTCGGCCAATAGGTGGTGGATCCTGGCGTCCGTCAAGTCCTTCTTGGAAGGGTTGTACTCCAGTTCTTGGAGATCAATATTCCAGCCCGCTTCGAGCTGGCTGCAACTCGGACTGGAAGGAGAAAGAATGAGACTGCATTTTTATGACGGGCTGCCACTTCAAGATCGATACTGTGTTTCGTCGAGGGTTCGCCCGTTCAATCGAGATACAATGCAGAGTTATCTTCGGTTATGCTCCTCCTCGGACCTCTGTGTGTGTATGTGTGTGTGTGTGTGTGTGTGTGTGTGTGTGTGTGTATACGGGGTGAGTCACACGAGGGAGGCAAGCATCGATGGCACCCTTCATGGGTGTCTTGCAACGCTTGGTGTGTATTACCAAGGGCATTGTACACCGGATGGAAGTTATTTCGTATCGCGTCCTTCCGATCTTACTGTCCGACGACGGGACGTTTGCAGTAATTGAAATTTCATCAGCCCCGTTTCTTTTTGCCAGTAACAATTAAAGCTACCTACGAATCAAGTGTATTCGAGTTTTATTTTTAACACGGTTTCTCGATAGCCGACGGAACGAAACAGTTGGAACAAGTAGCAGAACGAATAAAAATATCGAGTAAAATTCTCGCGATCCTTAAGAGCACGCGTATCTTAATTCGTTGAAAAAAGTTACAAGGATAAAAATCGTTTTGACAAACGGTTCACAGACGGTATTAACTTTAACTTTGTCGTCAACTTTTCACGACGTTAAACTAAACGAAACAAAGTATTCGATTTCGCTCTGAAGCTTCGAGCTCAAAAGAACTCTGTTTCAAGATGATCTTTTTTCTTCTTCTTCTTCTTTCCTTTTTTTCCCTTTCTTTTCTTTTTTTTTACGAGGGAAAACTTTCTTCGATAATTAATACATTTCCAGCAAGGTGACGGAGGGGATGGCGTACACCTGTTTCGATCAAAGAAGCATTCTTCGTGCTCTGTATTGTGAAAATAAATGGGTCGAGTATGAACGAAGATAATTCAGCTCGTTACGAATCGGGACGGACGGGACGAAGAAAGGAGAGCCGTGGAAAGGAAAGGAAAAAAGGAGAAAGCCGTTGAAGAAAAGAATCGAGTCTTACCTGCCATTGAATTGTCCCGTGTTGCTATAGTTGCGGAATATCGCAGACATGCTTTCAGTTCCGCTGATATTGCCAATGGTGGACGCGTTCCTTCTAATGTAATCCAGTGCATCTTTCATCGCGAGTTTCGAGTACGTTTCCAATATTTTCGGCTCTGCGCCATAGTGATCCCTCACCAGATAGGGACGAATGAATTTATTGTCGAACCGTTTGAATCTGTTGAAACAAACAAAGGAAAAGGGAATGAAAGGGAATAAAAAAGAATTGTCCTCATTCCGAAATTGAGTGTTCAAGAATTTTAACAAATTTTTCTCTCTTCCCCCGGAATAGATTACGAAACTTCCTTTTTTCGTCACGAAACCGTGATAAATAATTTATGACGAGATATGACTAGCGATCAGGATCATCTGCATCCTGCGTCACCATCTTGAACGACTCGTGAGTCATCTTACTAGGGGAGAGAAAAGTCGATAAACCTGGCTCGTGTTTCCTATCGTGTACCAGGAAAAGTCGAGAAAGCAGAAACGTTGAAGAGACTTCTCTCACTTTTCTAGATCATCGAACGTTAAACGTTAGTTTCTCGTGCAATAAATATTTTCGACGATAGACTTCTTTTCAGATAGTTCTTCTCAGAGCAATCTCTGTCTCGAGCTCCTCACTTTGAATAACCTTTAGCTAGTCTTTACCTGTGAAACGATTGTTCATTACGCGATTTAACATAGTGACAAATTACGCGTACTTGTCTCGAACATGGTAATTGCCGTGCTTCCCCAAAATGTCCTCGATTCCAGCCATCACGTGGTCCATTATCTGCAAAGAAACGAAGACGCCATTTTTCTTCACTCTCAGTCGACTTGTCGCACGTTTATTATTTCCCTCGTCAACGAACATAAATGTACATTTCGTGCATACGACAAACGTGGAACGAAGCGCCACGGAATCACGGCCATTTTTATCTACCATTGTTCCTCCCTCGGACACGTTCATTTATGAAAGTGACTACCGGCGAAAAAATCAGTGCGATCTTCCCCGAACACACCGAGCGATTATTGATTTTCTTGTGTATCGTGGCTCGCTGCTCTTTTTTCAATATTTACACGAACGATAAGGGCGTGCACATGTAGCTACGCGTTCTCTATAATTTACACAACACGCATTAGTTTCCTCCGCCTCTTTGTTTGCCACCTTCTTTTTCCTTCACGCCGTTTTTTTTTTTTTTTTTAAATTATTAATCGCTCTAAACGAGCAAAGCATGGCTACAAAGATTGGCTCGTTCGACGTTCGTCCATAAAAGACAACGCACCCTTTCGTGGATCCTCTCGTTCATGGTAGGCTTCTTCCTTTCGGCACGCTTCACGTTCAGGATCTTTACCAGCGGCTTGATCGTGATTCCCTGGGAACAAGATAGTTAGTTGATAGTGAACGAAAACGCGAATGGAGTTTATAATTTACCGAGTGTCAAGCTTTTAGATCTCGTTACATCTATATGTAGTTGGCGTGATAAATGGTTTCTACCCCGACTGATTAATTCAGTCGTCAGATTCATCTGTTTATTTTAATCGTAACATTTGCATGTTATCAACATTCGTGCATGAAGCGTGGTATTATTCCTTTCGTTGCTCGAGTCGGCACTTCGCGTTTTTCATGGTTGACAAAAGAAACAGTTCGAAAATGTTAATATTAGATGGACTCGTACATTTGACGGGTAAATATACAGGCTGTCGCACGTAAAAATCATATTCTCCTTCAACTGTAACGATGCACAATCAAAGTATCAAAGAAGAATATAATTTTTCCCTCAGGCTCATCTTTTTTCAGACACTCTCCTCAAGCATATTTTTCTTTTTTTTTTTGCACATTTTCCTCTTGCACGCCATATTAAAACGCATTCGGAGACATGCAGCGACGTATATTAAAGTTGAGCACGAAATATATTTTCACTAATACAGAGTGTTGGATTCCGTGAATTAGGAACAACACTCTTTGTAACTCGAGAATCGAGAATTTGTTTAATGGCTAGTCGGACTAGATCCAAGGCGAGAGAAAACTAACAGAATTGGAAATAAGAGCACCTTTTACATCTTAATTTATCGCAGAAAGAGAGAGAGAAAGGGCGAGAATGACCAGATGAATGAAGGGGGATCACATGAATTTTTCCCTTGGTGAACAACGATCTCTAGATCACTTGGAGAGCGAAAGTATGTCAGTGAGTCAATATCGTTAAGAATGATCCAACATTCAATAAGTTTTAACACAGAGCGAGAATTCTTATGAAATATTTAGTCTAAATATTTTTCGAAGGTTTAGATTATTATTATATAGTTAAGGATTGAGAAGAGCGAATGTCGCGCGAAGATCGATGATTTATCGATTGGGCGACAAGGTTGATAATTAACAGTGTTTCTTTCATTCCATTCTTTTTCTGCTCGAGGCGCTTTAACCTTTTGCAGTCCCTACTCTATTTGCCATGTGCCTTCTTTCTTTAGATTCAATATAATAATAATTCGTCGCGGAAAAAGCTCGACGAAATTAAAGCGAACAACTATGCAGGAAACGTTGATAAATAGCAATGGGCCCTCTCGTCTGAGTCTAGATAGATATTCCCATCGTGAAAGATGCATAAATATATATAGTTCTTACGTTCTAATTACTCGTATCAAGTTGTCCTCTAATTTAATTTACCGGCGCAGAGATATCTTCCGACGATGAATATCGTATATTTGGTTATTCACCGCGAAGGCAAAGTTTCACTCAAATTGATATGAATTTCCATAGAATCGAGACATTATTAAGTGACACGTGCGCTTTTTCGTTACACGTATCGATCGCCACCGATGGGAAATCTTTTTACTGGATCTACTTTCGTCTCTCACGAGCAATAAATTATTTCAAGCAGCATTTTTCTTTCTACGATACAGAGATTCCGATACAGTACTCTCGGCGATACTTCTCGTCAATTGCTGCATTCACTTCCGTCCGATATCTCGCAAATAGGAGCATTTATCCAAGTTGATTGTCTCCTCGGAAATTTCTAACAAATAACGTTCCTCCAATCCTCTTGCACTGAACTTGTTGAACGTTTCTCAGTGACTCTTCTACGAAATCGAGCCAAGGACGGGACGCCGAATGAAATTAATTTCCGCGAGAGTTAAAAGTCTCTCGTTAACTTTCAACATCTTGCATCTAATAATCTTTCTGCGCCATTCACCTTTCGAACTTTGCGTCATTCGCCAAGTAGGATGGCCAATTACCCTCTTCGCTCATCTGTGTGTCGCCTGTGTTCGGATAGAACTACGATTTTCACGTAGAAAATAGAGCTATGGCGTGCACGGCCAACTGTGTTCTAGTTCATAATAGAATAGTCGAGGAATCGATGAGCGTATCGGCATAAAGAAAGGTCATCGTCGACTGCGTATTTATTTATAACAAAGCAGCTAACAAAAAATCACGATGCACCTGCTGACTCAAGCGAGTAAATCGCCGTTTTCACGTGTCAATCGCAATTGAGGCGTTGCATCTTCTTCAGGTGCATACATACAGGGATGTATCGATACGAGAGGATGGTTCCCTGGATATAAAAATAAGTGGAAAAATGTAGAAAATGTTAATAATCTTGGGTAGAGGTGGAAAATTGAATTTGTTTTCGTGTACAACCCGGTGCCTTTCGAACCCGGAATTTTCGCGGAAGCTTCAATCCTTTCAGCACTCAGAAAAATAAGCTCCAATCATGTTTGGTGAGCTCAGAGAAATAATCGGCGCCGAACGAAAAAATTTTCACCCCTTTCTCAGGAATTGATCGAATGTTCGATTCTCAAATTCGACTGTTTCCAAAGGAACAGCTTTGTAGAAAATATCCCAAGCAATCTTCTCCGCGTGGAGAAAAGAATCCTGTCCATGATCCATATATCGATATTACGGTCGAAAACATTATGGTACGACGTGTTTGCGGTCACTGGACAACAAGTGACAAACAAGCGGAGACAAGTAGTAAATGTTCGCGTATATTCCGCCTGACGCGTATCGCCAATAATAGTACGAACTGTGATAGCCATATGCATTCTCACGCCTCTTAGTCTTTTATGAAACATTATTGGGTAATTTCCATCTAACCAACAATCGAATCAAATATCGATGTTTCAATTACATCACTGAACTCTGATCTAAAATCTTTGATAATTCCTCACTGTTCTTGGTTCTTAGCTATCGCTTTGGCGGTATATCGTATTTTATTTGATAAAACGTCTTCTTCGGGAAAATATGCGTTCGTCCTTTCACCAGTTTCAACACTGAATATTTCAGACGCTCTCAGTCTTAATTAACATTACAAATTGTTTAAAATTGCGTGCAGAGGAGTGACTGAATCTTTCAGCGTGTTTTACAAATTAATATTGAAAAAGAGATTAATGCTTGAAGGACGTACTGCAGTTCGCTTCGCTTCGCCTCGACTCGCCACCCGAGATTTTCATCTAAACTGCATTTTAATTTTACAAACAGCATAAAGACAAGATCTTAAACATTTAGCAGTGAAAGCCATTTAAGCCCTCCTTCCTTTTGGTCGGAACCTTTTAACCCATGCCCTCCGATAATTATTAATTAGCCGGAACCTTTCACAGTTTCGGAAAATCATTGCCGATCTTGTCCTTCGTACGTTACGATCAGCAGGAATCGAGAAAATTTGTATGAATGGTTTCGGTCCAGAGATCCAATGAATGGGTCTTCAGTTTGAATTTCCCAAAGTTTACTTTCAGCGAACAACGGACTCTGAACTGTTGATTTAGAGAATGTTCCCCTTACTATCCTGATTCGAACGATCTCCTTTTACTCTTTTTTTTTTTTTTTTTTTTTTTTTCGTACATCAAGGTAGGACTGTTCGTGCCTGCCGCGGAGTTCTTTTGTACAATTTTTTATAAAATTTTCAACGCGACATTCCTTACATTTCCACCGTTGCACGTGTATTCAAGAATTGCTCAACTGAGATATTCTTTTTGAATTGAACAACTCTACCTTACGCGCGCGCGTGTATGAAAGCACGGAAAGATACTTCGAGCGTCACGTCGCGCCGTGGTGATGTTTTAATTTAAACTTTCAACAGAAGCGGGGAACGAGAAAGCAACGTTAAACCTAGGTTCGTTTAGACAATTGTTGTTGTTGCCGACGAAACAATCCCGGCATGTATTGGGATAATCTAAACGAAAGACGCAGCAAAGCGGGAAGAGACAGTATGAAGTTATAATGGCGAACGTAAAAGGAAGCATAGCGGGGGGATCCATGGTGCTCGATGGAAACTGCACGCAACAATGCTCGTAACGGAGATGAAAAGAACGTAATGCACAAATCTCTGCTGTTTGCTTAAATGTCTTCCTTCGAGGCAAATATTCTTCAAAAGTTTGCCATGCTGTTCCGCTGCGCGAAACAGAAGGAAACGCTGCCTCGGACTCGAATTCTTCCTCGGTTTCATCCTTGCTGTATAATTTCGCTTATGTATTCTGTTCTACGTTTCACAAAAATTAACACTGATATTTCCATTGTAAAAATATCCCATCACATTCTACTGTCCAACGTTCTGTTTTATATTTTATAAAAGTTAATATTAATCCATGTCGCTGACAGAATAGCCTTTCAGTTTTCCAACAGATTCCACGGATCAACTTTTTAATATTTCAAGTGCTCGGACACAAAATTTCCAATACTGACAGAAATTGCTACGTTGTTTTCGTGCAATGATCAACTTGAACTCATTTTAAAGCTCGAAACGTTCAATATCAATACAAATATCGATCATTTTATTCCAAGATTTTTGTTAGAAATTAAGGACAGTCTCCTTCTCGAAAATTGTCGTAGTACGTGAAAACTTTGAAAAATTGCCTTTGCCCCAATCCCCGAAAACTTGACGTATGATCTTTCTTCATCATTCTATCAAACTTTGAACATCCGGCTTTCAATATTTTTACATTCTATGAAATACTTTCGAGAAAAAAATAAAAAGTTTTACAGTCGCTCGATAGAACGAAGTAAACGAGACATTTTGAAAGTAAAGGCTTCGAGTTTTCAAACGTTGCCCTATCGCCTCTCACGAAACCGTTTAAACATACACCGACGATTTCCTCGAACTTTGGAAATTTTATGCTTCGATCATTTTGCACGAGCGACTGCAAACTGCCTGCCATAACGTTTCATTCCCTCCCATTTATCCCGTGCGGCGAGGATTGATCGCGTTATCGTCGTCGTCTTACCTGTATGAACACCGTGAAATAGATGACCGCGATCGTGGTGGTGACGAACATCGGCTGCAAGGACACGTGCCTCGGGTCGATCAACAGGACCAGAGCAAACGCTACAGCACCTCGTAAGCCACCGTACGACATCACGAACTTCTCCACCTTGTTCAGCTTATGCAGTCGGAATTGATTAGCCAAGGCTGTCAGGAAGATCACGCCTGAAATTCCATTTCAGTTCCGAGTCAACGCGCTTGCCCATTTCGTCGTTCATACATCTACAAACAACCACTGCCTCGAGAGCTGGTCACGTATCTGTTTGTATATTTTACGAGTTCTACATCACCGATACGACGAAATTCTGATTAATTTATTAACTTTTATTTTTTGCGCTCCATCTGTGATCAATTGCAATCGCGAAATATTCACGAGAAAAAAAAAAAAAAAGAAACTAGTAGTTTAAAAAAGAGTCGTAGTCAACCGCATTTTTTTTTAAAAAAAAGGAGAGAGAAAAATACGGGACTTTCGGAGAAGAATGGAAAACAGAACGTTTCGAGATACATGTGGTAGAGGTGGCGATGAATTTTTTAAGTATCGCCGTTGGCTGACGATTTAGCGATAAACCGTCGATAGAGCAGGAAGCCGTAAGCCCGTGACAGTAATCCGTGATGTAAACTGCTGGTTGCGGAAGGAGCTAGACGAATCTTGTTAAGAGTCTTTCGAGATATTTCGTGGCTTAAGCTTGAGCAAGGGTAGATTCAGAATTCTTCCAGAATTATATTCTTCTCGTTTGTTTAACGGCTCGCGTCAATTTCGATATTGGCTGTTTGCGATAATCGCGACTTGGGATACGGAAATACGTCGCTCAGGGGTTGTAATTACATATTCCTTCGACTCGTCGCGATAAATTTCCCGAAAATTTACCGGTTAATATCCCCCACGTGATCGATCATCCGGCTAAAACAGAATTCCATTCGGAGCACATATTCCACCGCTAATCTCTCACCCCTTCTGCTATCCAAATTACACGAAACAACAGGAAACAATGTTCGGCGCGGCGCGTGCCAAGTCCCTTTTCCCCCCTCCCCTCTCCACGAGCTTCATCCCGGTTCGTTATCCCGCAAAAAGGGAAACAGCGAAGGGCAAGAAACGCCGCCTATTCTTGGCACGATCTCGTAACTGTTCGCTAAGTAAGTGACACGCGATAAGCCATGATCGGTTTAGCTTAAGACTCCGTTATCTCTTGATACCATTAGCAACTCTCTCTCTCTCCCTGCTCTCAAGTTCAAATTGTCCGGCTTGGACTCACTGTCTCGTGACGCGATTACTGTCACGAGACAGTGCATACATACACTGACATGTCACAGACAGTGCATACATACGCGACAGCGCGCGCGATGCGTTGTCTGGTTGTCTGAAGGAGTTAACAAAGATTTAATCGGATTAATAATTTGAAGAATCCTCGTCATCTTGCTCTTAGTTTCTAGAGAAATTTCCGCGTTTTTCTTTTCACTTCTCTGTTCACTCAGCTTTCACGGAGCTAGGCTGGCCTTGGCATTACTCACCGACGATTCGATAAATCGAGCAGAACACGATGGTCATGACGACGAACCACGTGTTCCAGTCGTGATGATTGTTCACCGTGGCGACCCCGAGGAACATAAATATGATGGTCTCCGAACTACTCGACAGCATTTTCATCGTGTACTTGACGGTGGTGTGCGACTTGTGCGATATATTCGCCTCGACGTAATTCTTCATGGTGATGCCGCAGAAAGTGATCCTACAGACATACAGAGAGAGAGAGGTCACGGTTAAATCGACATCGGGGCGATGTCTGGACGACAACACAGCAAGAGGGGTGGCTCCCAGTTTCCAACCAGGGAGGGTCAGGACACTCGTCTATCGATCGCAACTCGGCCAGTTTCCTAAACTCGTCGTCGAAATTAATTCCGGGGGAGGTTTACGAAATCGACGGCCACGGGCCAATGACGGGTCGATTCGATTTACGACAGGGACGTGCCCGCTCTCCTCCATCCCTGTAAATTCGTCTGTCCACGTCTGTCCACGTCTGTCCACGTCTCGTTCGTGAGTACGTTTAGATCGGTCACCGTTTCGATTCACTCGTTAATTTAAGACAGAGGGAAATTTGGACAGTTTCATCCCGTGAAATACTCGCAAGTATATTCAAGAGTTTAACGTACGTTTCTCGTAAGTTTGCGATTTTTTTTTTCTTTTTTCTTTGAAAACTTTCTTTGAAAAAGAAGAGTATTAATCCCGGAGTGCGCGGAAACATCGAGAGATTCTGTCGAGAAGGAAGTCTTAATTGAATTCTCCTGTTTGTTGTTACGATTCTTCCGCGTTTTTTCCCCGCTCCGAAAACTCGGCAGATCTAACTTATCTTTTAACCAAGAGAATTTAAAGAAATGGGAGAGGTTGAAATTCCGCTCGCGTTGTTAAATCGTCCAAATATTCCCGCATCTTACACGCCTTTGAATAAACAAACTGTCGGTTTCTGGCCGTCGATCGTGCACTCGAAACCCAGTGTTTCGTCTGTTTGTCAATCAAACACGGGCGCGGACTACTGTTTAATCGTAATAAATAAAAATCATGGCTGCCGGAACAAGAACCCGGGCGATTACGGGTTAAGCATATTTGAACAGTTATTACACAGGGGCATACTTCTACGCCCCTGGATCGATCATCGACTTCGCCTGGCGAAACGGTGTAAATAATAGACTTAACGAGAATCGTGCCTCGTCATCGTGAGGCTTCCCGCCATTTATTTCTCAGTGATTTGTTACTCGTTCTTTTGCTTTCTTTTCTTTTCTTTTTTTTAATAAAGACCAGCCTCGGGCGATTTATCGAGCAAATCGGCGATCACGAGTAAAACCTGCTACGCTTTCGTTCTCACCTTCCTCGCCCCTCGCCCCTTTTCCACGACACGTCTCGCAGATTCGACGATAAAAAAAAAGGGAAGAAGAGAGAGAAAAAAAAATAATCTCGTAGTTTCATCCCGTCGTTTAATGAACAGGTTTTATGTAGGAGAAGTTTGATTAAAAGCGCGCCGATGAATCGTTGCGCTCGTATATGACCCGGGACATGCACGTTTCGCCGGATATATAAGGTATTCTACAACTACACCGGCGCGTACACAATCGGCTACGAGGTGATTCTCTACGCGGAATAAAGTTTTTTCTCTCTATCTCTCTCTTTTTTTTTGGGCGAGGTTTCGTTCCCGGCAAAAAATTGAGTTAAATACACAGT